TTGTGGGTCTTCCAATTCAAGAGATCGGTAGTCGTGAACGGGACATATACAAAGACTGGGTCAGCATGTGCCATTTGACCTGCGGCATCGATATAGGCTGACCCAGGATTCAGACGAAGAGGCATCTGATAATGTTTTAATTGTTGGGTACCGGTCAGTTGTCGGGTTAGTATGGGGCTACGTGGAGGGGCGTCAGTTAAAGGTTCCGGTCGAGAGGTAATAGGGCATGAGGATGTGGGAACTTGATTTTGGGAAAAGTTAGTGAATAGTATACTCCGAGCCGAGCTAGAAGAAGCTTGACCGGAAGTTTGAAGTGGCGCCAAATCAGGATATTCAGATCTAATGGGGGTTGGTCCTGGTTCCGGAAGGGGAGTTTTAATACGAGGGGGGGTGGATTCTGTACTGGAGGAGGAAGCGGAAGTGGATGGGGGCAATAGGGGAAGGGGTGCAGAACTTCCTGCATTCGCGTCACTTCCTCTTAAAGGAAGTAAGGGGGCGGCAAAGGGATCTCGGACTCAGGGGGCGTGTCCAAAATGGGCCTAACACCAGTCCTAGTGGACAAACAAGTCCTGGCCACCATGAGGCGACATTGCTCCTCGTGGCATATCCGATCCATTTTGGCGAGTCGTTTACGGCCTGCCTCCAACAATCAATGTATGGAAACTGTCCGTAAAGTTCAGGCCTACCTGATACAGCCACGTGTACACGCTGTACCAGGGTTGGATCCAAACTGCCACGCGGCGGCCATGCCGCAACCAAAGTAGGCCACTCCCTAGTGCACAAAGTGACCAAACGTACAGGAGACATTTTAACCCCAAAATCACATGTTTTGAATCCCTTTTTAAAATTCTTTACCATACAACCTAAGGGATCCGAAATCGTTGACTCTGACGCGCCCATACTTATCAATGGAACGTCGTTGACAACGAATACTATGCACGCGCTCTTATTCAACAGTCACACCCGTTTCCTCTGGCAACAGCACCACGTGGTACAGTTACCAAGTGAAACGTACACAATAACACAATAATCACTCAGGGAATTCCCGTACACACACAGCTGTTACACCAGTCACTAAATAATCAATATTATGCCCTTTGGCGAAACTATACAGTCACCCACGCTATAATTCTCTATATATGAATTACCCGTCTATAACACACCCCAGTAACATCGTCTTTTACTAGTATCGGTTACAGTACGGTTAGCATAGGTCAAAGCACAATTTAAGGTCACAATACAATTATTAGTGGTTACGGTGTTAAACATGCAATAGACGACAATGATTAGTACTTATATACAGTGTCAGTAAATATACAGGGTTATGGTACCGTGCACTATGATACAGCAACACACTATTAACACTCTCGCTAGACGGCTGAGCTCGCGCTATCTAACAAGATATACACTTTACTAACAATCTTTAACACATTTACAATCCCAACTAAACTATTGGCCAGTACCTTGAATGGACTACCTAAAACTATATACACCCGTTTTGGTTAGCCACACTGCCCAAGCACCACATATAGCGAACTAGAGGGCGGAATTTACAAAATTGCCCTTCTAGTCTATTTACTCTATCAAAAGTCTAGTGGGTTCCAAATTTACACGCCTTCCCACTTAGCCAAGATAGGTTGAGAGCTAGCGAACCGAATTTACACAGGCGCCGCTTAGTCTCCCGGTCCCTCCGACCTAGCGAACGTAATATACACCCTAGAACGCTAGTCTAGACAAGACACCGGTGTCCGGCTAGGGCTATTTACACAGGACCCCGCCTGACTAACCAGATCAAACGGTCTTACTAAAGAGCGTTCGATCGAGCGGTGCGCCTTCGCTCCTTCCCTCCGACAGAGGGGGCAGATTCCATACACAGATTTAAACCCCTTTTGGGCCTACCGCACAATCGGTATACCCCTAGTGGGTCTGCCGTCTAAAACAGCAGTTGTCTTACCTCCTCGTTCCTGAACCTGAGTTCACACTCATCGACGGGGACACCCCAGCACTTCTTACGTAGAGGCCGATGATCTCCTGGACAACAGACCAGTGGCGCCGAGACGAAGGGAGGTCCACGCAGAAGTTCAGGGGTGCAGCCGTAGAGAACGTGGGCAAAGATAGACCGTCTCACGCCTCTGCCTCTCAGCTACCGTTGAACGATGAGCTTCCCGGCCAATGCACCAAATGATACCGGAGAAACTGACGGAAGCAAAGCACAGAGAGATGGACACAGGTTTCTTCAGGAAGGAAGAGATTCTTTATTGGATCACCGATCGGGACTCAGAGGGACTAATGTCACCAAAAATACAGCAAGTTCTGAGCGCCGAACAATAGTGCAGGCTCCCTATATAGGCACATAACTCCTCCCATATTAAGCTCCACCCGCACATTCTCTTGACCAATCATTACAAATAAGAATTAACTTCCTGCTTGACCGCATGGCTTGTCCAGCACAATGGAGGAGGGGAATACTACATCCTGTATTCTTGCACATGCTCCGTACACTACTGATCGTATCTTGCCTCGTGCAACCAACTGATCGATACGTCAGCATATGCACGTACACATGCCACGTGGTAATCTCGGCCTACTAAATTTATTTTTACCGAGATTCCACCACAAAAGAGGCACTACTCCAAGCCATGAGAGGAGAGCGTGACCTACCACAGAAATACAGACACAGCAAATTATTCACAGATCTATCGGCAGCCACGCTGCAAAAAAGAAAGAATTTAAAGACATCACAGAAGCATTGCGCCAGAATAACGTTCAGTATAGATGGGGATACCCGATCCGCCTTTTGATAAGGAGAAATGGTACGGTGACAACAGCCAATACACCTGATGAGGGTCAAAGACTTCTGTGCAACTGGAACATCGCAACAAACCCAGAGGGGAAGAATACAGCCGTACAAACCAGAATGTCACCGGAGTGGAAAAGACCCCAAAAAATGAACTGACCTGATACCATATGGACTGTGCTGCGGAACCAAATGCAGTCCCAGCCGCGGCTGGGCAACCAACGAGTCGCAATTATAATCTGCATGACTGCATGGCACGGGGTTATATACACATTTAGGCTACACCACATGCACGCAAACCATTAAGACGGCATATAGGCAAAACAGGGAGCACGGGAGGGATCATCTGGGTAAAAATTGCTTATTGATGGGGCAGTGCCATACTACTGACATAACATGTATGAAAAAAAAAAAAGTAACCAAGGTCATATCCAAAAGTGGTCATATACCGCCGTTACAAAGCAAAACAAAACTCTGACCTCACCAACTCCTAACATTAGGCAGCCAAAACACAACAAAAACACAGCTGCCATGAGATATACAACAGCAAACATCGGGCTCAGCAAGCTCACCCACTAATCTATAACTCTCGTAAACATACACAATAACCACGTTCCCACCCGGCACTATCTGGTTAGTGCCTCACCCTTCATTGGGAAATGTACGTACCTGTTAATGTTATTGCATATATGTTGAATGATGTAATGTTTTATTCGTATGTTATGAATAATGATTGCATTCAGGGGCAGACTGACCACTCGGGCATATCGGTCATGGACCGAGGGCCCGAGGCAGTCAGGGGCCCGGCAGCACAGCCATGCTCCAGCTGGAGAGATCAGAGATCATTTATCTCTCCAACTGGAACGGCAAAAAAAAACAAAAAAAACTTTTTTTAATTGATAGGTTGTGGGGCCCCTGATGCAGCGCGGGGCCCCACAGCCAACCACTCTCTAAATCCCCCCCCCCTCCCTCGAGACCTGGCAGCTTCACCTCCTCTCTGCCAGGTCTCCTTCTCCCTGTCCCACGCGGTGCTCTGTGTGATGGGGAGAGGGGCCAGGAAGTGACATCACTTCCTGTTTACTCCTCTCACACAGAGCCCAGCGAGGGGAAGGAGCAGCAGCCTGGGAGAGAGCAGAGGGAGCAGAGACACAGGTAGGTACTAATCACCCCCTCCCCCCTCACTGTCACTAGTCACCCCCTCCCCCCCTCACTGTCACTAGTCACCCCCCCCACTGTCACTAGTCAACCCCCACTGTGTCACTAGTAACCCCCTCCCTCACTCTGTCACTAGTCACCCCCCCACTGTGTCACTAGTATCCCCCTCCCTCACTCTGTCACTAGTCACCCCTTCCCTCCCTCACTCTGTCACTAGTCACCCCCTCCCTCACTCTGTCACTAGTCACCCTCTCCCTCACTCTGTCACTAGAGTGAGTGGGTGACTAGTGACAGAGTGAGGGAGGGGATGACCAGTGACAGAGGGAGGGGGTGACTAGTGACAGAGTGACAGAGGGAGGGATGGGGTGACTAGTGACAGTCACCCCCTCCTTCACTCTGTCACTGTCACCCCCTTCCTCACTCTGCCACTAGTCACCCCTTCCTTCCCTCACTCTGCCACTAGTCACCCCTTCCCTCACTCTGTCACCTGTCACCCCCTCACTCTGTGACCTGTCACCCCCTCACTCTAGTGACAGAGTGAGGGAGGGGGTGATTAGTGTCATAGAGAGGGAGGGGATGACTAGTGACAGAGTGAGGGAGGGAAGGGGTGACTAGTGACAGAGTGAGGGAGGTGATGATTAGTGACAGAGGGAGGGATGGGGTGACTAGTGACAGTCACCCCCTCCTTCACTCTGTCACTGTGTCACCCCCTCCCTCACTCTGTCATCGTGTCACCCCCTTCCTCACTGTCACTAGTCACCCCTTCCTTCCCTCACTCTGCCACTAGTCACCCCTTCCCTCACTCTGTCACCCCTTCACTCTAGTGACAGAGTGAGGGAGGGTGTGACTAGTGACACAGAGAGGGTGGGGGCGACTAGTGACAGAGGGAGGAGTGACTAGGGACAAAGTGAGGGAGGTGGTGACTAGTGACAGTCACCACCTCCCTCACTTTGTCACTAGTCACCACCTCCCTCACTCTGTCACCAGTCATCCCCTCACTCTGCCACTAGTCACCCCTTCCCTCTAGTGACAGAGTGAGGGACGGTGTGACTAGTGACAGAGAGAGGGAGGGGGTGACTAGTGACAGAGTGAGGGAGGTTGTGATTAGTGACAGAGGGAAGGATGAGGTGACTAGTGACAGTCACCACCTCCTTCACTCTGTCACTAGTCACCCCCTTCCTCACTCTGTCATTGTGTCACCCCCTTTCTCACTCTTTCACTAGTCATCCCCTTCCTTACTGTCACTAGTCACCCCCTGCCTCTCTCTGTCACTAGTCCCACCCTCCCTCACTCTGTCACTAGAGTGAGGGCGTGACAGGTGACAGAGGGAGGGGATGACTGGTGACCGAGTGAGGGAGGGGGTGACTAGTGACAGAGTAAGAGATGGAGGGGGTGACTAGTGACAGAGTGAGGGAGGTGGTGACTAGTGACAGAGTGAGGGAGGTGGTGACTAGTGACAGTCACCACCTCCCTCACTCTGTCACTAGTCACCCGTTTATTCCCTCACTCTGCCACTAGTCACCCCCTCACTCTAGTGACAGAGTGAGGAAGGGGGTGACTAGTGACAGAGTGAGAAAGGGGGTGACTAGTGACAGAGGGAGGGGTGACTAGGGACAGAGTGAGGGAGGTGGTGACTAGTGACAGTCACCACCTCCCTCACTCTGTCACTGTGTCACCCCCTCCATCTGTCACTGGTCATCCCCTCCCTCCCTCCCTCCCTCCGTCACTGGTCACCCACTCCCTCCCTCACTTTGTCACCAGTCATCCCCTCACTCTGTCACTAGTAACCCCTTCCTTCCCTCACTCTGCCACTAGTCACCCCCTCACTCTAGTGACAGAGTGAGGGAGGGTGTGACTAGTGACAGAGTGAGGGAGGGTGTGACTAGTGACAGAGTGAGGGAGGGAGTGACTAGTGACAGAGTGAGGGAGGGAGTGACTAGTGACAGAGGGAGGGATGGGGTGAATAGTGACAGTCACCACCTCCTTCACTCTGTCACTGTGTCACCCCCTTCCTCACTCTGTCACTGTGTCACCCCTTCCTCACTCTGTCACTGTGTCACCCCTTCCTCACTCTGTCACTAGTCACCCACTCCCTCCCTCACTCTGTCACTAGTCACCCCCTCTCACTCTTTCACTAGTCACCCCCTCTCTCACTCTGTCACCAGTCATTCCTTCACTCTGTCACCAGTCATCCCTTCCTTCCCTCCCTCTGCCACTAGTCATCCCTTCCCTCACTCTGTCACCAGGCATCCCCTCACTCTGTCACCAGTCACCCCTTCCTTCCTTCACAGTGACAGAGTTAGGGATGGGGTGACTAGTGACAGAGAGAGGGATGGGGTGACTAGTGACAGAGAGAGGGATGGGCTGACTAGTGACAGAGTGAGGAAGGGGGTGACTAGGGACAGAGGGGGTGACTAGTGACAGAGTGAGGGGGTGACTAGTGACAGTCACCCCTTCCCTCTCTCTGTCACTAGTCACTCCCTCCCTCTGTCACTAGTCACTCCCTCCCTCTGTCACCAGTCACTCCCTCCCTCTGTCACCAGTCACCTCTTCCCTCTCTCACTTTGCCACTAGTCATCTCTTCCCTCCCTCCCCCACTCTGCCACTAGTCACCCATTCCCTAACTCTGACACTAGTCACCCCCTCTCCCTCCCTCTGTCACCAGTCACCCCCACTCACTGTGTCTCCCCCTCACTCTGCCACCACTCAACCCCTCCTTCCCTCACTCTGCCACCAGGTACCCCCTCACTCTGCCACCTGTCACAACCTCCCACACTCTTCTACCTGTCACCTTCTCCCTCATACACTCTGTCACCTGTCACATATGCATTCACACAGACACTATATACAAAAAAGCACATGTAGTCATCCAGACATGCACAAGTGCATTCACACAGACTCAAATACAAACATGCATTGATACACAGGTCTTCACAATATACACATCCAAAGGGTATTATGAGTTATATTTAACATTTATTTAATGCACGTATATTTGGCCTTCAAAGGGCCTGGGATCTAATTTTGTCCGGGGGCCCCAAAGGCTCTCAGTCCGCCCCTGCACACACTACACAAACACACACTGCATTATATACACACACACTACACAAACACACACTGCATTATATACACACACTACACAAACACACACTGCATTATATACACACACTACACAAACACACACTGCATTATATATACACACACTACACAAACACACACTGGTATATACACACACACTACACAAACACACACTGCATTATATACACACACTATACAAACACACACTGTATTATATACACACTGTGTTTGTGTAATGTATGTGTATATAATGCAGTGTGTGAGGGGGCATTTTTTATTAAATAATTTTTTTTAAAAATGTATAATTAATTCTTATTTATTTTTGTTGTCCCCCCTCCCTGCTTGTTACCTGGCCAGGGAGGGGGGATATGACAGTCCCTGGTGGTATTGGCTGAGCTGGGGGGGCGGAGAGCAAGCGCTTACTCACCTCCCAGCAGCTCCTCCAGCTCCCCAGTGTAACTCTCGCGGCCAGCGTGTCGCGCGGAGCGTTGCCATGGTGATCCATGGCAACGCTCGGACGGCCGCGGGTCTCGCGAGAGTTGCACTGGGGAGCTGGAGGAGCTGCTGGGAGGTGAGTAAGCGCTTGATGCCCGCTCCCGCCCAGGACCGCCGGGCTTGTAATGAGCCTGGCGGTCCTAGGAGGTATTATCGGCAATATCGGTATCTGAATTGGCCGATACCGATATTGCCGAGAATACCGAATATCGGCCGATTATATCGGTAAAACCGATAATCGGTCGATCCCTAATTTTATTCCCTCCATAAATTTCCCGAACCCCTGGTCTGATCTGGGTGATTTTTGGATATGTTGTTCACCCAGATCAGGGCTACCAGGGGATGTATGATTTAAGGGGGTACCCCTACGTTTAGGGGTACATCCAGAAACGGGGGGAATTGCTGGACTGGATAAGGGAATTATGATGCAGGCTGAGGGGAGGAGATGTGTGGGAGGTTACCAGGACAGGATTGGCTACTGTACTAATGACTGTAAATCCCTCCCTTGCATGGGAGCATGCTTTAAAAGGCCAGTGTGGAATAAAGCTTTCAGTTCTGCTCCTGAAACTGTGTGTCGTCCAGTTATTGGGATTGCTGTTGGGATACTGCTGTGTTACTTTGCCTGCTGGAAACCTTGCCTGTGGATTTACAAATTGCTTGTTCCTGAGCCTCACTTGGATTATAAGCGGAGATAACCTGGGGAATATTGCATCTCCGCTACAATGGGGACATGGATATTTGATTAGCAGTAGCTGCACATTTGCTATTTTTTCATGACAGTGAGCAGGCAGTGCCTGTATATGTCATGATCATCATCGTGCCATACAAAATATTGTGTATTTGGGCCTGGCTGAGATTGAACATGGGTCTCCTGCTTCCCAGTCAGTATCCTTACCTTGGACTCCACACATCTTTGGTTGTTTCAAGTTGTTCCTGGTATCCTGTTCTCTAAGTCTGTACACCTGGACCCTGCACACCTGTTCCTGATTCCCAGATAAGTGGCTGATATTTTCTCTATTTAAACCCCGCCTTGGTTGTTACACATGGTCAGATAGTTTTGTTCCTGTTTGGTATTCCTGCTGTTCATCTGACTCCTGGTTTTTGATCCTCTGCTCGTCTTCCGTTTATGCCTGTTTGTCACCTGTCCTGACTATTGATTCCGTCCCTGACTGCTCTTTTGGATATTCCTTGCCTGTACCTCGTTCCTGGAAGCACATGTTATTATTAGCCCCAGTGCACTGTTTCACAGCCTTTTGGATTTCTACCTTGAGTCCCCTTGACTTGTGTAAAATTGCAAAGGGTGCTCTAACTCTGCTTGTTGGACTACACTCTCAAGATAAGATCATTACAGTATAGTTGACACATTGGTGGGGGCATAAGGTAAGTGTTAAACCTCCCTTATACCAGTAAGGGGTCATATTGACACCCATATGCTTTTTTATTTCTTTTGTACTGGCTATTTCTGTAAGTCTCCTAATGTAGCACCAAGATAACTCCAGTTCTGCCCTTACAAATATAATCCACAGTCTGTGATAAGAAACACTATCATTTAGTGGTCCATTTTACCTGGCTTCCCCATTTATTAAAATTACTTTTCTGTGATTTTTGTTTAAAGTTATCTAGCCCAGGTAAGTAGCATGCAGTAATGCAGTAGTATGTAATAGTAATTAGGATGTGTACATTCTTAGACTTTCTACCTTACCTTCCCTTTTTTCTTTGATTCTGAACCTCTTCCTTTGCTCTTCGAACAACTTCATCAATTTCTGAGTCCAGGGATGGAGTTGGTTGTACAGGTCCTGAATGTGTGACACGTGTGTTGACTCGAGACAGACTGCGTCTCAGAGATTCATTCATTGCTTCACTCTCCACCAAACGGGTCCTGTTGATAAAGAAATGTTACCTTAAAAAGCTCCTATTAAAAAAAAAAAAAAAAAAACAACTCATATTATGCTGTTTTTTTGTTTTTTGTTTTTTATAATGCTGCATGCAAGACAAAGTTAAAATTAGCTGATCATGAAGCTATGATTAAAGTCAACTGGAGTTTACACCAGGACAGAGATAGCTCAATCTTCCAAGAATCAAAGAGGTAGACATATAGATAGACAGGCAGAGAAATGCAAAGGTGTTTGAGCTGTCAATATGTGCAAGGCAGATCTGGGGTAAGGGTGAACATAGGAGAATATTTAAAAAAAAAAAGACTGATAATCACACTGTGGGTAGATAGCGCTGTAGAGATAAGACTGTAGCACTGTATTAAAGGGACATTATGGAGCCAGAAATACAAAGCTATATTCCTGGTAATATCACTCCCCTTGCCTCCCCCCTCCCTCGTGCACCCCTCTCCCAGGTAAATATAGGGTTAAGAACCCTTTATTTACTTACCTGATCTCAGCGCCAAGAGACATTGAAGCTCCTCCAACCTGCGGCAAGCAGACTCTAATGCGATGCGCACGGCATTAGACCTCCCCATGGGAAAGCATTGAATCGTTGCTTTCCAATGGGGATAAATCTGAAGCTGGAGGACGTCCAGCATCAGATACCGTACCAAAGGTCCATTTTGATTCAGGTGGCTGTCTAGTAGACAGCCACTAGAGGCTTAGTGCTGCAATGTAAACATTGCAGTTTCTATGGAACTGCGATGTTTAAAGGACCACTATAGTGCCAGGAAAACATACTCGTTTTCCTGGCACTATAGTGCCCTGAGGGTGCCCCCACCCTCAGGGACCCCCTCCCGCCCGGCTCTGGAAGGGGAAAGGGGTTAAAACTTACCTTTTTCCAGTGCTGGGTGGGGAGCTCTCCTCCTTCTCTCCTCCTCCGTTCCTCCTCCTGGGCTGAATGCGGATGCGCAGCAAGAGCTGCGCGCGCATTCAGCCGGTCGCATAGGAAAGCATTTACAATGCTTTCCTATGGACGCTGGCGTGCTCTCACTGTGAAAATCACAGTGAGAAGCACACAAGCGCCTCTAGTGGCTGTCAATGAGACAGCCACTAGAGGATTAGGGGGAAGGCTTAACCCATTCATAATTATAGCAGTTTCTCTGAAACTGCTATAATTATGAAAAAATTGGTTAACCCTAGAAGGACCTGGCACCCAGACCACTTCATTAAGCTGAAGTGGTCTGGGTGCCTAGAGTGGTCCTTTAACATTGCAGCACTAAGGGCAATAGGGACAGTGCACTCAAACCACTTCAATGAGCTAAAGTGATCTGGGTGTCCCTTTAAGAGGAAGGGGGGATCAAAATTGATGATTGTTGAAAAACAAATCAGATGGTTTTTTTCATTTAAATCAGAATTTCTGAATTTGAATGGGAAGTTTTTGATTTTGATCAAATTTATTTTAATGGAATGCTGTTGGAGGAAATACCTATCTAAAGATAGTTTTCTATGTAAGATATATTAGAGCTCAAAGGATAGCCAGCATGAAATAAAGTTCAGTTATGTAGTATGAGGCTTAATATTTATGTACCGGGTAATATTTAAGTTTTTGGCAAATTAATTAAATTAATCCAAGTTATCCAAGCTGAAATAACATGCACTTTTTCACAGTAAAAATTTTATAAAATAAACAAAGTGCAGGAAAATACCTTAATCACGTTGTTGTTTTGCAAATCTATGTACAAACAATGAAGACATTACCTTTAAGGAACACTATGATGTTAGGAATACAAAACTGTATTCCCAATGCTATCGTGTCCATCTGGTAACGCCCTCCCTCATTGGAATATTTTTTGAAGAGGCAGAACCTTCAAGTTGATAAACTGTTTTAATTCACCATATTTTTAAGATTGATATTAGGTAATCCATTAACATGAGTTGAAATGAGCAATGAGTTTGGGCTGTACTGAGTGAATACAATTAAAAATACATAATGAGCATAAATTAGCTAAATAAAATTATTTAAGTAGTTCTTTAAATAACCTATTAAACTAAAATCAGCTCTGATATAGCAGTTTTACTAATCTTTTAACGGGTTATTATTTTAAACGTGAAATCTTCATCTGGTTGCAAATATTAAAGA